TGAATCATCTCTCATGACCCCCTTTCATTTCAGTTAATATTTGTCCCTAAGTTCTCACCTCTTTCCCCCAGATTACTTTCGTCTGTTCTTGAATTTCATATACATGGAATCATACATGTATATTTTTTAAAAAGATGTATTTATTTATTTACTTCAAAGCCAAATTCTGAGTGAGAGAGAGAGAGAGAGAGGAGGGACAGAGAGGAAGAGATTCTCCAACCATTGGTTCATTCCCCAGATGGTGGCTAGGGTTGAGGATGGGCCTGTTCCAAACCAGGATCAGGAACTCCATTCAAGTCTCCCACATGTCACATGTGTAACAGGGATCCAAATATACCTGGACTACTTTCAGTGGCCTGCCCAGGAGCATTAGTCTGGAGCTGGATCAAAAGCAGAGCAGATAGAACTTGAACCAGCACTCCAAGATGGGATGCCAGCATTGCAGGCAGCAGCTTAAACTGCTATCCCACAAGGCCAGTCCTCCATGTGCAACTTTTATGTATGTGAAATTCACGCATTTTATTTTACATAGAAGTAATTCAGGGGGCTGGCGCTGTGGTGTAGCAGGTAAAGCCGCCGCCTGCAGTGCGAGCATACCATACGGGCACCAGTTCAAATCCCGGCTACTCCACTTCCAATCCAGCTCTCTGCTGTGGCCTGGGAAATCAGTGGAAGATGGCCCAAGTCCATGGGCCCCTGTACCCGTGCGGGAGATCTCGAAGAAGCTCCTGGCTCCTGGCTTCAGATCGGTGCAGCTCCGGACATTGCAGCCAACTAGGGAGTGAACCAGCAGATGAAAGACCTCTCTCTCTCTCTCTGCCTCTCCTTCTCTCTCTGTGTAACTCTTTCAAATAAATAAATGAATCTTTTTTAAAAAGAAGTAATAGAGTTTATTTTTATTACTAGTCATTTTCTTTTATATTAATATATCATAATTATCCTGTTGTTTATAGATTTTGAATTTTTCCCATTTGGGGGTCATTATGAATTCCTGAGTTTGAGTTGTATGTATATATGGCTACAGTAAACTACCAAACAGTATTCCAAATTGAATTTACAAATGCACACGCAAACCACCAAGTACAATGTTTTCAGTTGTTCCATGTCCTTGCTGATATTAAGTTTCTGAATTGTTTTAATTTACTTATCTATGTGGGTGCATATTGTATCAAACTGTGATTTCAATTTTCATTTTCCTGGTAACTTGTGATGAAGTACTCCTTAATTTGCCTGGACTCTGTCTATTTTTATTAAGTTGTCAATTTTTTTCTTATTTATGTCTCCTAGATGTATATTACAACTATTTTTTCCTCAGTCTGTGAATTACCTTTCCACTTCCCTAAAGGATGTGTTTTGATTAACTAAATTTCTTTTTTTTAAAGATTTATTTTATTTATTTGAAAGTCAAAGTTACACCAAGAGAGAAGGAGAGGCAGTGAAAGAGAGAGAGAGAGAGAGAGAGAGAAAGAGTCAGAGAGAGAGAGGTCTTCCATCCACTGATTCTCTCCCCAGTTGGCCGCAACAGCTGGAGCTGCGCCAATCCAAAGCCAGGAGCTTCCTTGGGGTCTCCCCACGTGGATGCAGGGGCCCAAGGAATTGGGCCATCTTCTACTGCTTTCCTAGGCCATAGCAGAGAGCTGGATTGGAAGTGGAGCAGCCGGGACTC